TAAGATGTAGTGGGGTATGGTATCTACAAGATACAGGGGACAACTAGGGTTGGGCTGGAGAGTGTGGAAATTTGGGGAAATAAGTCTGTGTCCTACCAGCATGGTAATTATGTAAATGATACATGGATGGGAAAGCTCTAGGAAGCATTCTGGGGGAACATGCAGACTACCAGGAATATAAGATTCTGGGAAGCAGGAGGAAGAGGGTTCTAGAAATGCCAATGTGGTTGGGAGTTGAGTGTGGACAGAACCTTGACATTCCCTCAGGAAGAAGCCTTCCAGGACCTGGCAAGAGCAGGGTCTCCCAGGCGTACAAGGGGACTTCATCAGAGACCCTGGAAGATTCTGAAAATCTGCAGGGGCCTAAAAGGCTCAGGGATCTGGGGAATAAGCCATATGAAATAAGAACCCCATGAACTTTGGAAACACATGGAAGAGCCCAAACTGGTCATTAGGGGGAATGGGAGGGTCTGAGGTGAAGCCATGCTCCTGGCTTCAAGGAAGGAATGTGCATAAGAAGGAAACCTTCTGGACCCCTGCTGGTGAGCAGACAGTGCACTGGTGTGGGACCTGGTGGATGATGAGGCCCAGGGACCTCAGGAGCTCTAGCAAGTTTAGGGGAATCCTGTCAGTGTTGCTGTCAGGGTTTGCTGCCAACCTATTTGGTTCCTTCATAAGGAATAGAAAGAAGTGTCCCGTCTTCCCCAGATGGATGCATCTCTGCTCTAGATTATGAATTGGAACATGAGCTTGATTTCAGTTCCTGCTTGCTCCAGTGGCCAGAGAGCATTTTCGGTCCACAATCTAACGATTGTATTTGTAGAAAAAAGACTTCTTTTAAGAGGTGTAAACTATAACAGATACAGAGATAATAAGGGACAGTACACTTGACTTGATCTCTCCAACTTCTAAAAATGTCTGTCAATGGGAATAATATTCTCCTAGAAAATCGATTTCCTATAGAAATAGTTGCATGCTTGTGCAGCCACAGGCAAACTAATTTGGCCCTGTGTGCATCAGATTCTTCATCCTGGAGCTGTAGTGAGGATTAAAAGCATTGACAAATACAAAGCTTAGAACTTGGTCTGGCATTTAGTATTTGCTCAATAAATGTTAGTCATTTTTATTATTTGCACCAGTCACATGTTATGAGAATGTTAAAGCTGGATGGGACTGGGAAACATTTATGCAGAAAATAGTTTTGAATCTAGGCCTTAGAAAATATTTAGGATTTCAATAGGTAGAGAAAATAAGAGGCAAACATTTCAGGCATTGAAAATAAAGGTGCAAAGGTACAGGCAACACTCAAGTATGGTAAGTAGACCCATTTAGCAAAAATTGAATGTGCAGAATGGAAAATAAGCTTAAAAGCTAAATTGAGGACACATACAGTATTTATTCTTCTCTCCCTGGTCAGCAATGAAAAGCAAAAAATACGTATCCTGTAACTCTCTGTTACCTGGCTTTCACTCTACGGAATCTTTTCTCAAAGGTTCTTCTAAGGCAGTGCTTCTAAAACTTTAAAGTGCAAACCTATAACTTGGGGACCTTCCTAAAATGCATATTCTGACATGGTATCTGGAGTGAGGCCCGAGAGGCTACATTTTTAGCAAACTTCTAAGTGCCACCATGCTACCACACTTTAAAGACCAAGGGTCTAACCCAAATGGCCTCTTCTCATTCTCATCCTTGCCTCCTCTGCAGTGTTAGGCTTTGCTGATCTTCCTGAGACTCTCATCGCGGACTTCTATTCCCTTACCTGAATCTTATGCTATTACCTAAAGCTTGCAAACAACAAGCCTGCTCTGTTAACACTTCAGGACATATTGACTTGTCTTGAGCACAGCTTTCATCATATAAAACAAAGTTGCCACTGGTAACAATATCTATATATAATAGCTATAGCTACAAACTGAAGGCTTGTCTTTAGATGTGTATTTTAAGTAATTGTCAGTGTATCAGTTTCTTTGGTCTTTTAAAGACAAATATTAATTTGGTCTTTTAAAGGCAATCTTTTAATAAAAGACAGGCGTATGTTGTTATAAAGACATCTGTTGCCTATCTCATGATGTGTCTAGTTTCTCTGGAAAACAACCTCCCCTGAGATTCCCACCTCTACCCACTCCACCATCCATCCACATGGGCATCAGCTACAACTGATTGATGCAGAGGTGGGCCCCTGACAAATACTGGGTTGTTTTGAGTCTCTCCCCAGGACTTTACCTTAGAAGTGAAAAGAAAAAAAAAAAAAAAGCAAGCCAATCTCTCACTCTCTCTATAAGAAATAAAGAGCATGATGTAAACTCAGGAGCTACTGGGAACATTATATGCCATGTGGACTGAAAAGCAGGAAACAGCAATCAACTGTAAGAAAGAAGACACCAGGAGAGCACAGGGAAATAGCTCCACAGTGTGGCACCGGGACAACCTTGCACATCTCTACATAGGCCATATAAGCAAGGCCTGACCATAGTCTGACCTGAGTCTTAGCAGAATGCCCTGTGCTTTCTTTTAGACCAAGGGAAAATAAGCAGCCTGGTGGAGCTGGAAGCTGTTTCTCCCATTATCTTGGGAAAGACTAATGCAAAGCCATTTCTGATTCCTCTCCCTTTCAGTTGAGCACAAGACTTTCCACCTCACTTCCATTTAGGGTAAAGCTACAGATGTCAGCGTAAGTCTACAAAACTGCTTGGCTGTGGTTCTGAGGTGGCTCCTGAAGAGCAGTGACCCAACACTTATATCATCTGTCATCTGGCCTCTTCAGTTCAGTGTGCTCTGCAGAACAACGGACCCAGGGAATTGACACCAAAATGACTGGGTTTTGCTGTCTGTGTAAGGAATTAACTGTCTGATTCCAATTGGGCATGTTTACTCCTTGCCAGGGAAATCTGTAGAATGCTAGCAAGACATCCTAACAGCAGTTGTTGTATCATCTGTGAACCTATTATTAACCACCACCCTGCTGCCTTGGGAATGCTTAACCATTTGGCAAAGAGAAGAAGGGTAAGAGATGTCAAGAGTTCACTTCCTGACTTCTCCTCAGTGCTCCAGCTCCTGAGTCCAGTTCGTTCCAGGAATACAGCCCAGACCTTGAATTCCATGAGATGCCAAACTCCCCAGCTTCTTTTTTTTTTCTCCTTAAGAGCCAGAATGTATTTTTAATGTTTATCATCAAAAGATCATAAAATACATACACACTGATATTGCATTTGATGACAGTACCAGTATTAGAACTCCAATGCTAAAGATTCAAATGTATTTTCTGTATTTATTAAAAATCTACTTCTCTCGTATATTGATTTTTTTGGCCCTTGACCTAGTATATGGAATATGATTAGCCTGCATCTATTCAAGTCCACTAAGTATAGTGAAATTGTTATTGGCCAAGTGAAAGAACACATGACTCTTTCACTATGATGAAATTATAAATTACTATGATCATTTATCAATAATTGCATAGTACTAAATATATGAATCAACTATGCTATGTTTCTTATTAAGGTACTCTTTCATTTCAGTTACACTTACAAGAACATGATGGAATCACATATTGTATTTGTGCCAAATATTTATCAGCCAACAAAAGAGTGTAAGTAGGATTAGAGTTTTCCTCCTTTTAGCATCTCTTGAGTTTAGCAGTGTCTACTATGTAGTATGATCATCTAAGCCAATATACAGATACTTATGAATCATTCATCATAGTTTAGCCTCACTTCCCTACTGCTGAATTTTCTTTAATCAGAGTCATAGACTGAATCAAGCAAGTCACAGACAGCTGGCAGAATCTTGTACATTGTGGAATTTGACCAAAATAATGAATATATTGGTGCAAATTAATTATTACTCCTGGGAAACAACTAAAAAAGTAGATAGTGGTGGCACTGATATCGTAATAATGGATGGACAAAAAACGATTACAAATAAGAAATGAATGCCTCAATTGCTATGTTAATGAAACAGCATCTTTAGAAAAATGCACAGATTATAAGTGATACATAATGTGCTGTGGCTGCTTCTGGTACCCAAGATGCATGTAGTTCCAGACATAATGATAAATAGTCATAATCTGTAGCTGTCCTATATAAAAAGCCCAAATCTGTTTGAAAATAAAATAAATTTTACTAGCCCTAGTTAAACATTAGACATCTAGTCATGTCTTAATACAACTGAAGTTACCATATAATTTATTAAGAGGAGATCTACATTAATCATGTTTTATGGTGATGAGTGAATTCTAATTATTTTATATACTTATAGTAAAAACATGTCAAATATGTAAGATTAAATTTTCAATCAACTCAATTTATATTTTAAAATATCTTTAAAATACATTCACTTATAATCTCATGGGTTAGTAACTTGCTCTATCCACACTTGGTAATTATTTCCACAATCAGTTTATATTTTTTCTAAATGTTTTTTCCTCACAGCATAACTGTCCATAAATTAATGTGAGCCCATTATATCAAAGGTATTTATATGTGTTAACATATGCATTTAATTTTAATCTGCCCATTTGGGGCAGGAATGGCCTCAGGCAAGCACAACGTGCATAAAACGACCTGTGGAGTCCTGAGATAACATACTTTAACGAGGAAGATAGAAGAGTTATGTAAGACCCGAGTCAACTGAGAAGAAAGAGGCTACAATTGATAGCAAAACCAAGTCTGGTAGAAACTAGATCATTTCGAGTAAAACAGCCAGCTAGGCAAAAAGATCTCAAAGTTTCAGGCCTTGGGGCTGTTTGCTTTTCAGGGTAGGAACTGAAAAGGCAGGGAACCAGAGAGCGGCCGGCATGCGCGCCCCGGCCACTTGACCTGGAACACCCAGCACCGGCCGCCGGCTCCCGGCCTCTTTTGCTCTTGCGCTCCGCGAGCTCAGGCTCAGCGCTAAGAGTTTAGAGGAAGAGAAAATTTCCGCTGGGAGACCTATCTGAGTTACGTTTTCTGGACAAGTGAAGGGAAAAGTGAGTAGCCCCCGGCGGGGCGGAGCGGACTTACCAGCGGAACCCCCGGCCACGATCTGCCTTGAAGCCTCGTTCACGAAGCCGACGGTGGGCTTGGCAGACATCTTCGTAAACCTGAGGACTGCAGCTGGGCCAGGATGAACGGGCGAGCTCGCCTCCCTGCAGAGCCTCTCCGGATTGAGAGCGCGCTCGGGCTGCTTGCTTCTTGGGCTGAGTAGCAGCTCACTGAGGAGGCAATCCGGCGACTGCTCGGAGGCGGCGGTTCGGGGCTCCGACTCACTGCCGCTCTCTTTGAGGCGCTCGTCTCACTGCCGCTTTGCTCCCTGGGCCCCAGGAGAGACCCTGGAAGAGAAAAGACTCGCGGATGGGGTTGGGCTGGCGGACCGCGGCGAGTCGGGTTTGGTCTCCTAGATTGGCGCCCGCGCGCTTCCCTATCAAGAGCCTCCTGCCGAATTTGTCAAACTGGGCGCGCTGCCTCTGATAAACGCAAGTAAAGAAGTGACCCTGGCCCAGATCTCCAGCGGCAGGACTGGGACGACCCTTGCCCTTCCTGGCAAGAGAGAGAGCACAGTGCAGTTCTCAAGAAGAGACAGGAGAATAAATTCCTCGCAGTTCTCGAGAAGGGACAGGTGAATAAATTCCTTGCAGTTGGAATAAACTCCATAAAATAAATTGCGGGCTGGAGCAACTAAGTCAAAGCAAATCCAATTTACAGTTATCTTAGAATTGAGCTAATGCAGAACATTACCAAGAAATGGTTTGGGGTTAAGGAAATTTATCTCATACTTCATCAACTTGAATTTTATTTATTAAAAAGTAAAATAATAATAATAATAATAATAAGTCTCTTCTCTACCCCAGATCATTGGTTCCAAAAGTAAAATCTTAGGACCCAGCAGCATCAGTCTAATGTGTGAGTTTGTAAGAAAGGCAAATCCATGGCCCTACGCAGATTTACTGAATCAGAATCTCCGGCTATGGGCCTTCGAAACCTGTGTTTTAGAAGTTCACCAGTGATTGTTATGAACGCTAAAACTTGTGAACCACTGACATAAATAACCAAGGGACATTAAAGAACTACCAGTATATTCTTTCTATAAAATGTTTAATTATTCATACTAGCTGTCTTGCAAATGGGTTTCAACCCTAGGCAAGTTCACTATGGATTTAATGTGACCAAAGAAATGACAGTAGACGTTCTGGGGGTGAAAGGGTTTATACCCAACTTTATTTCCACGGCGGCAGGTCAATCACTAGAATCCTATTCACTCAGAGCGAGTCTGAATGCAATAATCCCATCTCTGCCTTTGGCTCTCTGCCCACATAGCCATCCTCTGGGCATCTCTGCCCACATAGCCGTCCCAGTTTCTGTCCTCAGCGCTGCCACCACTTCAGCCTTTGCTCTGCTCTCCTACAGCCTTGCAGCATCGCTACCATGTCATCCAGAGCATTGGGCAGGGCTCTCTGTATAGAGTCAATAACAACACATTGCCCACATGTGTGTAGTCAGCTAGCCAGGTGAGAATCCTGGCCATAGGAACCTTCACTTTATCCACACTAGCCCTTTAGGATAGTTAGCAAAACAAAAATACTAATTTATACTATTTTAAAACTGCAAATTGCAAATGCTGTATAGGAGAGAAAGACACAAGATTGTAAAGTTTTCCAAAAATACCTGTAACACCCCTAACAGAAGATGATAGTAAAAGGGAGAATGAGCAGCTTTAGAAGCCCTTTTGTCATATTCCTTAAACATGGTATTTGTTATTAAATGTATTCAACTTGAACCATATAAAATTGCCATTTCAAAGGCTAAAAACCATTGTATATCATCAATGTAACATGGTTAATCTTAATATATGGTATACAATTAAATGTACGAAATAAAATAATTGGTTTCATACTTTGTTTTTATATCTTAGGCTGAGCTGTTAGCTGGTAATAATGATATCTAACTGGCTAAATTATTTAAAGTGAGAAATTGGGGAAACTTACTGAGTGTATAATCAGATATGCAAAAATAAGCCTTATATTGATCAAATATTTGATTAAATTACTAAGTTTCAAATGTTTAGCAAGATCTATCTAGAGTAAAAGCTTTTGAGCAAATTTTCAGTCTATTACTAAATAGGAGGGCTTAAGTGCAATATAGAATCACTTAGTCATTAAACAAATATTGAGAACCTGTTATTACTAAGCATCTAAAATCAGATTTTCAGAGCTCTTAGGAAATAGTTCCCTCATTTTCCAGTGAGGAAACTGAGTTTCCCAAAATCACACAAGTGAATAGCAAGCTAGGGTTTGATTCCAGGATCCCTCTTCTAATAGTAATGGGATTGTAGATTTAAATATTAGCCAGAGACCAAACTACATTCTGTCATACAGAAACCTAAATTAAGTGCCTCCCCAAATTAATTGCACTTATTCATATATAAGTAGAAAATGTTTAAAGTTAAAAGTCAAACTATTAAACCCCAAGGCACACAGTAGACCAAATTCTATGGTTATTCATTGAATCCTACTGATGTACTGGCAAGGTGGAACATAAAATGTAATGGTGTGTGTGTGTGTGTGTGTGTGTGTGTGTGTGTGTGTGTTGATGGTGGTGGAGGTGGGAAGGGGTAGGGGGTTCTTACCATCTTGCAATGCAAATAAATTTTTGCCTTCCATAGATTTCACGAAATAGAATAATACTCCAAGGTCAAGATTTAAAGACAGCCTTTTTATATCATCCATTATTTCCATGAAAACCTTAATCTCTGAATATTTTATCCTGAAGAATTGGGTGTAGACTTGTGGTTTCACTGAGACCTCAATCTCTCAAGACACCTATGGATTTCCCACACATTCTTGCATATCCTGTTAGAAAATTGCTACCTCTTTTAAACTTGCTTGGACTAGACCAGATCTGAGTAAAAAAAAACAAAGCCTGATATCATATTAGTCCTACATCCCTAGAATAGTTGAGGAGATAGGGTCTAGAGCTTGGGAGTCTGTTTGAGTCACTCCGGAGTCCACAAGTACCCACAGTGCTAAGATCTCTCTGATTATGGGATGTATCTTATATGCCACCAAATTTGCCCATGGTCAGTATTAGAATGCCGGGAAGTTTAGCACTGGGGGGAAAAAATGGTAAAATTTACTTGACCTACTATTTCAGATTCCATAGATTCAATTCACATTATTATTTTACATAATGCTATGATGTCCTGATATTAGAGCAAAACTGCAAGAGTGTCAAGTTTATGTTTTTAAATTACTGATTTATTTAGTTATCTTGGTTGAAAACTACATAATTACTGATTTATCAATTTGAAGAATGTCTGGAAACTAAAACCTAAAGGAACCTTAATTACTGAGGTTAAATATCTGACAATTTTTTCAATAGCCTTTGGAATAAGTTTTTATATTGGGTCACTGGATCAGCTACTGTTCAAGACCAAAAAAATAGTGGCAACAAGAGGGAGATTTATTTTCCTGCTCATGTAATAATCCAATTGAAAGCTCCAGTGAGCAACGAAGAAGAAAGGTAAAGAAATCCCTGGAAATTACACAAATCTCCTTGGTTAGTTCTTGGCTACAAGGCTATAACTGGGTACAGGAGAGGTGGGGAAAGGTAGTATGTATGAGTGCGTCCAGCCTCATACATAACGTTTCCAAAAAAAAAAAGTTAAGGAAGAAGGAGAAAACATTGGGAAACAACTAGCAGTGTCTGCCACAGTTTGAGGAAAAAGCTTAGGAATGAAAAGTTGTATTTTAAAATGGCATTATTTACTCATTTTGAAAGATTTTGCCTTTATCAGTGTCTAGAATATGCGACATAATCCTATGGTATTCAATGGACTGTGACTGGAACGACATTTTAAAATACCATCCACTGAAAGAAAAATAGTGATTATGGACCCAGAGACTCCTCTTTATTTGTCAAAACACACTTTCTATACACAAACAGAAACACAAATGCAGACATGGAGCCCATCTATGAAATAGGATGGTGTCTTGCCAATGGGTTCAGCCCCGGGCAAGTTCACTATGGATTCAGTGTGACCAAAGAAAATGACAGCAAAACGTTCTTGGGGTGAAAGGGTTATACCCAACTTTATTTCCAGGTGGCAGGTCAGTCACTAAAATCCCATTCACTCAGAGCAAGTCTGCATGCTTGCTCTGCCTCTGGGCCTCTCTGCACAGTCGTCCTGCACAGACATCCTCTGGGCCTCTGCTCTGCTCTCCTGCAGCCTTGCAGCCCTGCCACCGTGTCGTGTGCAGAGCACTGGGCGGAGCTCTTTTTATAGAGTCAACGGCCATGTATTTCCCACAGGTGTGCAGTGAGCTAGTCACCCAGGGCCAGGTGAGAATCCTGGCCACAGGAACTCTCATTTTATCCACATATGGGTAGTTGGGAAGAATGGTCTATGGACACCAGATTAAGAAATCTTAACTCATAGGAGAAATTATAATTCTTGAACTATTCAAAAGATTGATTATAATATCATTATGCAGAAGTATTACAAGTATTAAAGTAATGCTGTTTGCAAGTGGAAGACACATGTCCTTTGAAATCTATGGCTCTGAGTATCATTGCTCTAAACTCAATGATTTATAACTTACAAATATCAAAGCATCATATTATTGAGGACAGATCTTAAGTTCTGTTGCATTAGATTATCCCATAACCTAACAGAGCATTTCTAAGTTCCAAGGGATTTTACTGGGCAGTGTTAACAAAATAATTACTCAGGAAGCTTTTTTAATATTTTCTGATGTGATGATAGGAACAACAAGAGACAAAGTTCTGTTATAGGACATAGGCAGCAATCTAGGAGTTAAGGCCTCTGAGTAATCAACATGCAGAAATCCATGCACTTACCTCCTAGGAGCTTACTAAGCCTTCACTTAGAACTAGTTTTAGACCCAATTCTAAAAAGATTGGTAGGGTGGATAGCTAATATCTTGGTCACCACCAATTAGAAAGAACAAGTTAAATGAGAATAGGGGAAGGGGAAGTCAAGAAGATTCTAGAAAAGTGAAGAGCAACCTGCAACTTTCAGGCCATATTTATCCTGCCTAGCAAATTATAATCACAACATTGGTTGAATGCTCACCTTATGCCAGGCACTGGTCTAAGCATTCTGCTACACATCATCTCATTC